TGCACTATAAAATGTTAGCTATATTTTATTACATTACTGATCACTTAGCTGTCTGCTGCCCAAGCACTGCCTGTCTCCAGAGGCTAACCCTGCATTCCATCCTGACCTCCTTAGACCTTGGTCTAACTGGCTGGTGTGGAAACCTCATTTCTTTTTTTCAGTGTCTGCTCTTTCAAAGGATGTTCTCCTGGCCACCCAGTGAGTGCCCTTTATACTACAGCTACCAGGGCTCTCTCCACAGTAGGGTGGAGAAGATGAGATAGTCTCGCACCTTCCTGAAACCAGGGCACTTCTGAATGTCTTTGCTGCTTATACTCGGCTTCTCAGCCAGAATCTTGCATATTCTTCCTCATATAGGCTCCCCCGACAGTTGTTCCACCTTGCCTTCTACTTCCTTTGGAACTACATTCTAATGTGCCTCTGAATCCAGATGAGATCAGGGTTTAAGTTCTTTCTTTTTTTGTTTGTTTTTGTTTTTTTTGGTTTTTGTTTTGTTTTGTTTTTTGAGACAGTTTCACTTTGCCCAGGCTGGAGTGCAGTGGTGTGATCACAGCTCCACTGCAGCCTTGCACCCCAGGCTTAAGTGATCCTCCTGCCTCAGCCCCCCAAGTAGCTGGGAGTACAGGTGCATGCCCCATACCCAGCTAATTTTTTATTTTTTGTGGAGATGAGGTTTCACTATATTGCTCAGGCTGGTCTCGAATACCTGGGCTCAAGCCTCATCTCCTCCCAAAGTGCTGGGATTACAGGCATGAGCCACTGCACCGGCTTAAGTTCTTTCTCATGAGGCTCTTGGGCCACAAGTAAATTGGGGATGTGGCTTGACATCTATTTTAAGGGTTCCTGAGCTACTGTGACTGATAAGTCCCCCAAACATTTGATGAGAGGTGGGAGGCCAGTATCCCCTGAGTACCAGAGGATCCGTGAGGAGGAGTGACATCTCTAGCTCAGCCAGGATACCCTGTTATGTTATTAACATTTATAGCTAACATCAAGTAGCAGTTTCCATTACAACATGATTTTCACATAAGTTATCTCATTTAACTCTGAGGCAGGAATCAGTATCTCATTTTCATTTTTCTAATGAGGAAACAAGATTAGAAACATTGTGTTCACATAGATGGAAAAGGACAGGTCTGTCTTCGTTTGTCACTCATACCAAGCTATCTTCTTATCAGAGGAAAAAGGGTCATATTTTATGGTTCAGCAGAGTTTATATCAGTTGGCATAATGGAGGAATTTAGTGTTAGCCGTGTTTGCAGTGAAAGTAATAGGATGGAAAACTTGAATAATTTCATTTAAATTTAGGTTTCCTTGTAACTTTGTAGGTTTGTGTGAACTGTAGACAATTTTATGTTAATAAAAAGTAATGCGTATATAAATACACACCTATATATATTTATCTTGTCGTTTTTTCAGAACCACAATGGACACTGCCAGCCATAGCCTTGTTCTTCTCCAACAACTGAACATGCAGCGAGAATTTGGTTTTCTGTGTGATTGCACAGTTGCAATTGGAGATGTTTACTTCAAAGCCCACAGAGCGGTGCTTGCTGCTTTTTCTAACTATTTCAAGATGATATTTATTCACCAAACAAGGTAAGGATGTGTTTTTGTAAATAAGAATTTTTAATATTGTGATTTATATAAGCCTTATTATAATATCATTTTGGAAATTCTTTGTTACGGAGTCACCCTAAGAAGTAAAGTTATAATTTTTTCTTTTTTTTTTTGGAGATGGAGTCTTGCTCTGTCACCCAGGCTGAAGTGCAATGGCGCAATGTCGGCTCACTGTAACTTCCACCGCCCAGGTTCAAGCGATTTTCCTGCCTCAGCCTCCTGAGTACCTGGGATTACGGGCGCGTGCCACCACGCCTGGCTAATTTTTGTATTTTTAGTAGAGGTAGGTTTCACCATGTTGGTCAGGCTGATCTCGAACTCCTGACCTCAGGTGATTTGCCTGCCTCAGCCTCCCAAAGTGTTGAGATTGCAGGCGTGAGCCACTGTGCCTGGCTAAATTATAATAATTTTTTATACATTAGTAATTAAACTCAGTGGGTAGGCTCCATAGTGGAAAATAAGAATGAAACTAAGAATAGCTAAAATTGGCCGGTTGCCGTGGCTCACATCTGTAATCCCAGCACTTTGGGAGGCCAAGGTAGGCGGATCACAAGGTCAGGAGTTCGAGACCAGCCTGGCCAATATAGTGAAACCCCGTCTCTACTAAAAATACAAAAATTAGCCAGGCATGGTGGACAGCTGTAGTCCCAGCTACTCGGGAGGCTAAGGCAGGAGAATCACTTGTACCTGGGAGGTGGAGGTTGCAGTGAGCCGAGATCGTGCCACTGCATTCCAGCCTGGGTGACAGAGCAAGACTCTGTCTCAAAAAAAAAAAAATAGCTAAAATTTACTGAAGGCTTATCCCATACCAAAGCACTAAGTATTTGCCCTGTAGTGTAAATTCTACTGCTCTCCCTATTTTAGGGAAAGGAAAACTGAGACTGAGTTAAGTAACTTGCCCATGCAGGATTATGTAGCCAATAAGTTTGATACAGATTTGTCTGAAGCTATGTCTATGCTTTTAGTCACTAAGCTGTTAATTTTTATTTCATGTAACACTTTTGTTTTATTATTTTTTTTTTTTTTGAGATGGAGTCTAGCTCTGTTGCCCAGGCTGGAGTGCAGTGGTGCGATCTCGGCACACTGCAACCTCCACCACCCAGGTTCAAGCAGTTCTCTTGCCTTAGCCTTCCAAGTAGCTGGGACTATAGGTGTGTGCCGCCACGCCTGGCTAATTTTTGTATTTTTTAGTAAAGATGGGGTTTCACTATGTTGGCCAGGCTGAACTCGAACTCTTGACATCAGGTGATCTGCCCGCATTGGCCTTCCAAATTGCTGGGATTACAGGCGTGAGCCACTGCACCCGGGCTCATATAACACTTTCATAGCAAAGTTTCAGTATCCTAATTCTACCTGCCATATGGTCTGTATTATAGTTTAAGGGTCACTTGTTTCAAATATTTTTTCAAAATTACTTTGCTTTTTCAAATTTGGGTTAATCCAACATATTAGGTATGTAGGGAGGGGGAAGGAAAGTGATATTCAGATTCTAACCTTTTGGTAGAGTAGTTTTATTCCATCCTAGATTGAAAGTGACGGAACACTCTATGTTTTTTTAAATAACCTTACTTGAAATAGGAGTTCAGCCTCAATTATACATTGTAATTGTTTTTGTTTTTGTTTTTTTTGAAGACAGAGTTTCGCTCTTGTTGCCCAGGCTGGAGTACAATGGTGCAATCTCGGCTCACTGTAACCTCCGCCTCCTGGGTTCAAGTGATTCTCCTGCCTCAGCCTCCTGAGTTAACTGGGATTACAGGCATGCGCCATCATGCCCTGATAATTTTGTGGTTTTAGTAGAGACGGGGTTTCTCCATGTTGGTCAGGCTGGTCTAGAACTCCCGACCTCAGGTGATCCACCCGCCTCGGCCTCCCAAAGTGCTGGGATTATAGATGTGAGTCACCATGCCCGGCCTTAATTGTTAATTCATTCAAATATTTATTGAATAAGTATTCAATATGTAAGGCTCTGTGCTATACCTCAGTGTATTAATCCGTTCTCATGCTGCTGTAAGGACGTACCTGAAACTGGGGTTTTTTTTTTTATTTTTTATTTTTTGATACAGAGTCTCACTCTGTCCCCCAGGCTGGAGTGTAATGGTGTGATTTCGGCTCACTACAAGCTCCAACTCCTAGGTTCAGGTGATTCTCGTGAGCCTCCGAATAGCTGGGATTACAGGTGTGTACCACCACACCCAACTAATTTTTGTATTTTTTGTAGAGACAGGGTTTCATCACATTGCCCAGGCTGGTCTTGAACTACTGACCTCAGGTGATCCACCTGCTTCAGCCTCCCAAAGTGCTGGGATTACAGGCATGAGCCATTGCACCTGGCCCGAGACTAGGTAGTTTAAAAAGGAAAGTGATTTAATTGACTCACAATTCCTCAGGGCTTGATAGGCCTCAGGAAACTTACAATCATGGCAGGAGAGGAAGCAAACACTTCCTTCTTCACATGGTGTCAGGAAGAGGAAGAATGAGAGCCAGTTGAAGGGGGAAGCCCCTTATAAAACCATCAGATCTCGTGAGAACTTACTATCATGAGAATAGCATGGAGGAACCACCCCCATGATTCAGTTACCTCCTATCAGGTCCCTCCCACCACACATGGGAATTATGGGAATTATGGGAATTACGATTGAAGATGAGAGTTGGGTGATATGGGTCAAACCATATCACCCAATAACAGGTAAGTTATAATCTCTGTCTTTGAGCAATTCATAGTCTGATAAGTAATGTGTATAAAGCAAATAGTTGTGCTGTAATTGACCCTTCTGTGCCTCCATTTCCTTATCTCTAAAATGTTTGAATAGTATACTCACCCCATGGGTACTGAGAAGATTAAATGGATTAATAGTATTGAAATGCTTAGAATAAAGTTTTGCACTGTTAGCTACTGTTACTATTAATAATAATGCCTTAAGTCTGTCATAGAAGTGTATACAAGATAGAGTAAGGTTTCAGTGGCCCTATTTTGAGAAGGTTGGAACGGGCTTTACAGAGATCCTGGATCTTGAAGAATCAGAAGGAGTTTTTCAGATGTTGTAGAAGGACTCAAGAATGTGCATCATAGGCAGAGGGAAAAAATGGCATGAAAACATATACAGATATATGAACGAGGCCAGCTCATTCAGACCACAGAATAGATCGGAATGGTTGAAACATACGGCACAAAGTGGAGAGGAGATTGGAGTGGGGACAAGTAATGGGCAACTTTTTCTGGCAAATGAAGGAGTTTCTTATCTGACCTAAGTGTCAGTGTAGATTACTCTCACTATATTGGAAACGCCACCTTCAGAGCAGTGTCTTGAGAGCTGTGAGTTGGTTCAGCTCTCAGTGCACCTGTTATGTGCTTGCTAAACTGAACCCAGGTGATACAAAGGTAGGCCTGCTATGTGGTATCTCTGTATTGAGCAACTAAAAATCATGTTATTAGAACCCTGAACTGATATTTTTAAAAGCCCTGCCACAAACCATGTTAGTGGTTGGGTTAGAGCTAAGAGTGGAACCCAGTAGAGGAAGAGGGAAGTCCTAAGGTATCAAGACTAAAGCAATGGATTGCCAGCATACTGCCACCCAGAGCAATCTGATGCACTGATATAAACTTCTGCTTCAGGGAAGGTAAGTCCATTCACTGATTTCATTGTTCCTTGATAGCAACATTTCCTTCAGGTTGTCTCTATTCTAATTTTGCAGGGATATGTCTGATTTCTTACATACTTATTTCCATCTATTACTTGAATTCTAGATTCATACGTAAAAATTGAAATTTGGGATTATTTTTAAGCTTTTCAAAATTATACCTGTATTCATTGTGATTTATTTATTTATTTTTATTTTTAATTATTTGAGACAGAGTCTGGCTCTGTTGCCCAGGCTGGAGTGCAGTGGCACGATGCTAGGTCACTGCAACCTCTGCTTCCTGGACTCAAGTGTTCCTTCCATGTCAGCCTCCCGAGTAGCTTGGACTATAGGTGCATGCCACCACGACTGGCTAATTTTTTGTTTCTTTGTTTTGTATTTTTGTAGAGACAGGATTTTGCTGTGTTGCCCAGGTTGATCTTGAACTCCTGAGCTCAAGTGATCCACCTGCCTCAGCCTCCCAAAGTGCTGGGATTACAGGCATAAACCACCATGCCTGGCCTCTCATTTGTGGTTTAAAGAACACATATATGAATATATTTGGGAAGCCAAAATAAGATTAGCATTTAGATTTTAAATATTATCAATCTCAATGGATTCTTTTTTTTTTTTTTTTTTTGAGACAGAGTCTCGTTCTGTTGCCCAGGCTGAAGCGGTGGTGTGATCTCAGCTCACTGCAACCTCTGCCTCCCAGGTTCAAGCAATTTTCCTGCTTCAGCCTCCCTAGTAGCTAGGACCACAGGTGTGTGCCACCATACCCGGCTAGTTTTTTGTAATTTTAGTAGAGACGGGGTTTCACCATGTTGGTCAGGCTTGTCTTGAACTCAGATGATCCACCTGCCTTGGCCTCCCAAAGTGCTGGAATTACAGGCGTGAGCCACTGCACCTGGCCGATTTCAATAGATTCTTTCAACGGTTTTAAGATATTTTTGTTGTGGCTATAAACATGTAAAATTTGCCATTTTAACTATTTTTAATTATACAATGCAGTGGTGATAATCACATTCACAATGTTGTGCAACCATTATTACTATCTATTTCCAAAACTTTTTTATCACCCCAAACAGAAACTTTGTACCCGTTAAGCAATAATGCCCCATCTCACCCTCTCAACCCCTGGAAACCGCTAATTTACTTTCTGTCTCTATGACTTTGCCTATTCTAGATATTTTATACAATACTCATCCTTTTGTGTCTGTCTTATTTTACTTAGCATGATATTTTCGGGGTTCTCTACGTTGTAGCAGATATCAGAACTTCCTTCTTTTATGGTTGAATAATATTCCATTGTATGTGTAAGCCATCTTGTGTTTATCCACTCATCTTTTGGTGGACACTCAGCTTCTTTCTACCTTTTGGCTACTGTAGTAATGTTGCAGTGAACATTGGCATACAGGTATCTGTTTTGAGTCCCTGTTTTTAGTTCTTTTGATTGTTTACTCGACAGACTGTTAAATTCCTTAAGAGCAGGGTACCTATTTTATTCATCAATTTTCTACCCGTGGCATCTAGTATAGTGCATATCACTTAGGAGTCATTCGATTAACGTTGAACTAATCAGAATGTGTCTGTGTTTCCTAACTTTAGGCAGTAGATTGAATACAGGAAGACTTTTTGGTAGGCCATAAAGTTGGTATAAAATGAAAGTTTAAGCCTGTGTTGCCATGTTTTATAAGGCAGATTGCTAAGTTTGAACTTCTTAGGAAGAAATTGCTTTAGTCTCAGACTATGCTGTTAGCTGAAAGGCCAACTAGGTTGTGTTTCATTTCTTGTGGGTCTGTTTTTGTTTTTAACAGTGAATGCATAAAAATACAGCCAACTGACATCCAACCTGACATATTCAGCTATTTGTTGCATATTATGTACACGGGGAAAGGGCCAAAGCAGATTGTGGATCATAGTCGTTTGGAGGAAGGGATTCGATTTCTTCATGCCGACTACCTTTCTCACATTGCAACTGAAATGAATCAAGTGTTCTCACCGGAGACTGTGCAGTCCTCAAATTTATATGGCATTCAGATCTCAACAACCCAAAAAACAGTTGTGAAACAAGGACTGGAGGTCAAAGAAGCTCCTTCTAGTAACAGTGGAAACAGAGCTGCTGTCCAGGGTGACCACCCCCAGTTACAGCTGTCTCTTGCTATTGGTCTGGATGATGGCACTGCAGACCAGCAGAGGGCCCATCCTGTCACCCAGGCGCTGGAGGAGCACCAGAAGCCCCCAGTTTCCATCAAGCAGGAGAGATGTGACCCAGAATCTGTGATCTCCCAGAGCCACCCCTCACCCTCATCAGAGGTGACAGGCCCCACTTCTACTGAAAACAGTATCAAAATACACTTATGCCATTACTGTGGGGAACGTTTTGATTCCCGTGGTAACCTAAGGCAACATCTCCATACACATGTGTCTGGATCCTTGCCATTCGGTGTCCCTGCTTCCATTCTGGAAAGCAATGACCTTGGTGAAGTGCATCCCCTTAATGAAAACAGCAAGGCCCTTGAATGCCACAGGCTCAGCTCCTTCATTGTTAAGGAGAATGAACAGCAGCCAGACCACACCAACCGGGATACCACAGAGCCTTTGCAGATCAGTCAAGTATCTTTGATCTCCAAAGACGCAGAGCCAGTAGAATTAAACTGTAATTTTTCTTTTTCAAGGAAAAGAAAAATGAGCTGTACCATCTGTGGTCATAAATTCCCTCGAAAGAGCCAATTGTTGGAACACATGTATACACACAAAGGTAAATCTTACAGATATAACCGTTGCCAAAGGTTTGGTAATGCATTGGCCCAGAGATTTCAGCCATACTGTGACAACTGGTCTCATGTCTCCCTGAAAAGTTCTCGCTTGTCACAAGAACACTTAGACTTGCCTTGTGCCTTAGAGTCAGAGCTTACACAAGAAAATGTGGATGCTATCCTAGTTGAGTAGCAGCTTCTCTTTCAGAATTTTTATACCAATTCTGAAAAAGAAAATTTGCATGGCATTTTTTATTCATAAATTATTTTCCTCCTCAAGTTTGGTTGACTTTTTTTCTTCACAGCTTATCCATGGTTTTAAGGTTGTATATATTAGATCTTCTCATAAGACATATTAATATGTGGCTATTAAAATGTAACATTCAATTACTACTGTGAACTTTTCACAAATGAAATTACAATTTAGAAATCAGAAATCAATGTAGAAATATGGAAACTTTAAATAGTTATTTATAGAATTTCTAAGTTTTTCCAGTTACAGAACCAGTAAAATCAGATTGAATATAAAGTAAATGAAATCTGTTTTAAAGCATATTCTAAACTATCACTTCTGCCTACATTTCACATGAATTCACTCCTACAAGGATTATTTTTAAATATTTTCTTCCATATAGGAAATTAATACTTATTTTAGTGCATAACTATATGTTATACATATGTTATAATGTATAAAAATTTATTTTAAGATATACCAAATCATGAGTAGTTTTATTTTTTAACAACTAGCTCTACAACATCTTACCTACATGGCTTCTCTTTACTTTTTAACATTGAGTATACCTCATTTTTTTTTTTTTTTTTGAGACAGTCTCCCTCTGACGCCCAGGCTGGAGTGCAGTGACGTGATCTCGGCTCACTGCAAGCTCCACCTCCGGGTGCACGCCATTCTGCCTCAGCCTCCTGAGTAGCTGGGACTACAGGCGCCTACCACCATGCCCAGCTAACTTTTTTGTGTTTTTTTTATTAGAGACGGGGTTTCACCGTGTTAGCCAGGATGGTCTTGATCTCTTGACCTCGTGATCCGCCCGCCTCAGCCTCCCAAAGTGCTGGGATTACAGGCATGGTATACCTCACTTTTAATAAGAAACAGTTAAAAGAAACGGAGAAGAGCCAGAGAGAAATTAAAAAATCTTTAAGAAACAGTAAGATATACACACATAGATAAATAAACATGCAGAGACAGAGACTGAGCTAGAACTACATTGACTAAAAACCCCAGGGTTGTTACCTTGGTGTATAGTGTTTTCTTAGACAGCTTAAAAAGCAATTTGAGATTTTTATGACCAGAGGTTTACATGAGTTGAAAGAGAAAGATGATAAAATATAAATCATCTTTCTACCCTCAATGTCAGAGGATTTTTGGGGCTTCCTGGCTTGATACTAATTTTCTAAAAACCACTTGAAAAAGTAGTTTTTCAGTGGCACAGTTTTTACTTTTTTCCTGATCCATAAAGCCAGCAAAGTGGATACATTCAGTGTTCTGTAACTGCATTTAAAATCCATGATGTTAGCTTTCGCTCTACAAATCAACTTAACCCTCTTTTATAATGGTGACACTTACAAAGCTAAAACCAGGAGAGTTCAAGTTGATGGAATAAATTACAGATTCCCTGGCTCTATATACCTGGGAAATAGCTGGTTAAGCTTCACCACAAAGGATACATCTAAATTGTTTCTGAAATGTTTAAATGTCAAACACCGCATAGTCAAGGATAATAAAACAGACATATTTTTTTGCCCTCTTGTTAAATTCTAAGCTTCACAGGCATTTGAATACATCTAAAAAATTTGGTTTGTGAGCCTTAGAATTTAACCACTTACAAAACTCTTGAGCTCCCTCCACTTCCGAGGATATTTCCTGACACATTCAACAGCATCAGCGTTCAGTCAGGAGGGAGCTCAAAGAGTAATCCACCTAATTCTAAGGACACAAAGGTTTTCTCTAGATAAACAGTTTAGGTAAATTACAAAGTGGTAAGTTTTTCTTGAGGATTGAATGAAGAAAAAACTACTGGATATTGTGTCAGGCAGTTGAGTTTCTGCCTTAGACAAGTGAGTAAAGGCTCCTATGGTCAAGACTGATGTGTGTTGAGAACAAATCTAACTATTTATAAGATCAATTGTATTGGGAGTAATTAAAACAAATATATTGCTCTTTGGGGTCAGAACTCAGAACTTCATCTAATCTTAAACTTTTTCCTACCAATTCACTTAGGCAACTATTCAAATTTGTACTGCCCTCAAAGATTTCATCTCATTGGAAGAACACAAGTATTAACATTTATTTTCTGTATTTTAGGCTAGTTAGGATATATTTCCTAGTCTTAATTTTTCTCCTCTGTATTCTTCCCTATTTGCCCACTCATTATTATTATTTATTTATTTTATTTTTTTTAAGGAGTTTCGCCCTTGTTGCCCAGGCTGGAGTGCAATGGTGCAATCTCGTCTCACTGCAACCACTGCCACCTGGGTTCAAGCGATTCTCCTGTCTTAGCCTCCCAAGTAGCTGGGATTACAGACATGCACCACCACACCCAGCTAATTTTGTATTTTTAGCAGAGACGGGGTTTCACCATCTTGATCAGGCTGGTCTGGAACTCCTGACCTCAGGTGATCCACCAGCCTCGGCCTCCCAAAGTGCTGGGATTACGGGTGTGAGCCACCGTGCCCAGCCCACTCATTATTCTTTGACGCAGGAAATCCTTGTATATAGCTAAAGGGTGGAGGTAGAGTTGTATATGGATGATGGGATAAGACAGCAAGCATGTCAGGGCAGAGTGTGGAGAAATGGTAAGAGTTTGTTAGCAGCTGATTGGCCGTGATAGACGACACTGATTTAAAGCAGAAATATATCTGTTTGTTGAGAGTTAAGAAAATAGTTGTTAACTATTTCTATTCTTACAGTTCCTTTTAATATTAGGAATTCAAAGCAAATGCTCTTTCCTTGTTCCTTATAACATTCATTCTGTTTAAGAAGTGGGAAAATATCAACTTCATTTTATAGAAAAAAAGTCCCAAAAGCTGAATTCCAGAGATGCAGTAAATGGTGTGGGACTGACCCCCAGTTTTTGTTGTTGTTGTTGTTTTCATTTATGCTGCAGGGTTTTTTTGTTTTTTTTTTTTTTTGGGATGGAGTCTCACTATGTCGCCAGGTTGGAGTGCAGTGGTGCTATCTCGGCTCACTGCAACCTCCGCCTCCTGGATCCAAGCAATTCTTTTGCCTCAGCATCCTGAGCACATGCCACCACGCCCAGCTAATTTTTATATTTTTAGTAGAGACAGGGTTTCGCCATGTTGGCCAGGATGGTCTTGAGCTCCTGACCTCGTGATCCGCCCACCTTGGCCTCAGATTACAGGCATGAGCCACCGTCGCCCGGCTCTGCAGGCATCTTTTAAAGTAACTGTCATATGCCTAACACTGTGCCCTGAGTATTATTTTTTAAAGATGTGATTGCTCACTGAGAAAATTTGCTTTGTATTTTAGAAGTTCTTCCACCTAGGCCAGGCGTGGTGGCTCACGCCTGTAATCCCAGCACTTTTGGGAGGCTGAGGCGGGTGGATCATGAGGTCAGGAGATCAAGACCATCCTGGCTAACACAGTGAAACCCTAGTAAATACAAAAAATTAGCCGGACGTGGTGGTGGGCACCTGTAATCCCAGCTACTCGGGAGGCTGAGGCAGGGGAATAGCTTGAACCCAGGAGGCGGAGGTTGCAGTGATGCTGAGATTGCACCACTGCACTCCAGCCTGGGTGACAGAGCCGAGACTCCATCTCAAAAAAAAAAAAAAAAAGTTCTTCCAGCTAAAACCTTTATTTTTGACTACATCTCCACAAAATGGAGCTATACGGTTAGCCAGTATCCTAATAATATGGTGCAGTTTGCATAACGATTACCAAGCTTGAAACTGGAAATATCGTATGCACTTTCATCTGTGTATCAGGCAGATACTAAACAAACATTTTCCCCGTGAGTCAGCTTAAAATTTTTCCTTCTTTCAAAATCTTACACAGTTGTTTTCTGGAGAAAAATAGAGACTGTTTTAGTATTTGTTCTTATTAGCATATCATCAGAACTCAGCACAGTCTGCCTTATAAGAAAATAAGAATTTTTTTTATTTATAACTCTTGAGATTGTTAATTCTTGCTCTTCCTGATTTCTCATCTGTAAAGTGAGTGTAAGCAATACCTACCTCACAGGGGTGTTGTGAGGATTTATATTAAATGTGTTAAGTTCTCTCAGTATTATTGATTAAAACCAACCATATAAACGACATTTATTCTTTAGATAGACGTATTAACTTTAGTATTTCAGCCTATAAATTCTAGAACGTTCTTAAAAGCAGTAATGTACTATCTAATATTCAATAACTAATTGACAGAACTCTTATTGTTATTTTTTACAAATAACTCTAGAAACAATACTATTGCTAGAATTCCTATTCTACTGTAATTTAATCATCACTGTTTCTTTTTAGCCTTCAGTAAGGAGGATATTAGTTCTTTGGCATTATTGGGAATAAAACTTTGTCAATTTCAGCTTTATTGAAAGTTCTCCCAAATATATTGTTTACACAAAGGAAAAGGAACGAAAACAATAAAGAAATATGTTTATTTATTTTATTTTTTTTTGAGATGGAGTCTCGCTCTGTTGCCCAGGCTGGAATGCAGTGGCACGATCTTGGTTCTCTGCAACCTCCACCTCCCAAGTTTAAGCGATTCTTCTGCCTCAGCGTCCCGATTAGCTGGGACTATAGGCGCACGCCACCACACCCAGCTAATTTTTGTAGTTTTAATGGAGACGGGGTTTCACCATGTTGGCCAGGCTAGTTTTGAACTCCTGACCTTGTGATCCACCCAGCTCAGCCTCCCAAAGTGCTGGGATTGCAGGTGTGAGCCACCAGGCCCAGCCCATTTTTATTTCTTTAATGTAGGTGATCTAAATAGTAGATGAGGACAGGAAATGGGTTGAAGGTAATAACATAGTATTATTAGAAAAGTCTTCACTGAAAACTGAAGGAAATACATATTAATCATGGAAAAAGATAGTGTGAAAAATGTGTAATTTCATTAACGTTTGTTTGTGCAGGCACATTCTTGATGTTGTGAGTCAGATACTTGATAAATGTCCATTTTTTGTAGTAATTGATGTAAAAATGGGCCATGCGAAGAATTTTCATAATGTAATTTGTGTCTTTATATGTTTTGAATTACATATAGATCTGTGGCACTTAAATTGTTAATTTTTAATTTCTTAAGAGTGAAGTCTGTAAATGATTATTCTCTGCTGTACTTCTGTGTTTGTATGGTTAGACATTTTAAAAACTGGTGAGATTACACAATCCCAAACCTGGATGTCTTAAATACAAGGAATTACAAACTGTGATTTTTGTCTTGAAGACCTGGAAGAATTCATTGTGCTTCAGTATGTATTTGTACTGCACTTGATTAATTAGTAAGTATTGCTGTGGTGCAATTGATATTAACTGGCATCAGCTCCTCTATTTTGTGCTAAATAAAGTCATTTAGTCAGAATGGATCAAATATAAACTTTAAAATAAACTTAGATTATAAAAACTTGTTCAATAGAAAAGACCCACTGAAAAAATCTTCAAAGTACATGTAACATAGCAAATACAGGAGACCAAAATCAACAATACATTGTGTGGCTAAACTCATCCACCTAATATACTGTGAA